GGCTATTTTTTGGTTGCAGCCGTCATTGTTGTTTGGCGGGCTGGGCTGGATTCGAACCCGCCACCTTGGCTGTACGTGGCTGGCACCTTAGCCACTTGAGCCACAGGCACTGAGCCTAGGCTGGGTTTTGAACCTGCCACCTCCGGCATATGGGACCAGCGCCCTACTGCTTTGAGCCACAGGCGCCACCCCACATGTCTCTGTCTTGCGGCTTAGTTTGTGGCGTCTGAGGGTTTCTTGGTTCACGTGGGATTCCCCAGCACTTTAGTGTTTTGCTTTCAGAGTAAGAGCATCTGAACACAGGGAAACCAGCAAGCTCAGAGGAGAGCAATTGGGGGAAAGAGGCAGCGCCTGGCGCTACTTCTGCTCCCATGGTCTCTCCAGATCAGCGGCCACCTGCTCCCTGTGTGGTCCTCACAGCTCAGTCCTTTTCTCCAAGGTGCTTTCATCTTTCTCAGAAGATGAAGTTCTCAATTTACTCTAGCACGTATGCATAGATACATGCATGTATTTGATATTTTTCCATGCCCCTTTAACTTTGCTATTATTTTTTGTTAGAATCCTTCTTTCCTTCCTCCGTCCCTCCCTCCCTCCCTTCCTTCCTTTCTTCCTTCCTTCCTTTAGAAACCAAATCATACTCTGGGTAGAGTGCCGTTGGGTCATCATTGCTCACAGCAACCTCAAACTCTTGGGCTCCAGCAATTCTCCTGCCTGAGCCTCCTGAGTAGCTGGGACTACAGGTGTCTACCACAATGCCCGGCTAGTTTTTCTGTTTTTAGTAGGGATGGGTCTCACTCTTGCTCAGGCTGGTCTTGAACTCCTGAGTTAAAGGGATCCACCTGTCTTGGCCTCCCAGAGTGCTGGGATTATAGGCCCAAGGCTCTGTGTGGCCAGAATTGTTGTTTTCATTAGTGTTCTGGTTCCAAACCTTCTTATGATTTGAGTGGTCTGTTTAAGTCCTATTATTTCAATACCCCTGGTTATTTTTGTATCTGCTTTTGGATGCAACGTGAGCATTTTCGGGAATACTATTTTGTGGCATTTATGACCTGGGATCCCCAATTGCTGTCCCCTCTTCCTAGTAGGCATCATCATTGCTTTCCAACACTGATAGGGTGCTTTACTAATGTTGGTTTCCTTTATAGATGTAAATTTCTTTTACAAGAAGGACAACTCTTTAGAGGTACTCCTGCGTCTATAGTTTCTCAGAATAACCAGCTCAAAATACTCCAAAGGGGTGGAGTAGTCTGGTCTCCTATAACTGTTTTACAGAACGGTGTGTTCTGAACCCCCAAACTAGGCGTATATGCAAGATAATTTACAACAGGTACTCAAACAAATGCTCATACTCAAATAGACAAAAGCTGGAAACCACCCAACATCCATCTGAGCACACTGGACCCGCACATTGTGCTGTAGACACACAATGAAATACTACTCAGTTATAAAAGGAATGAAGCACTGATTATTATAACGCGGAAAAACCTCAACACAGTATGGTAAGTGAAAGACTCCAGACGCAAAGGGCAACATATTGTAAGATTTCATTTATATGAAATTTCAAAATAGGTAACTCCAGAGACAAAAGTAGAGCTGTGGTTGCCAGAGACTGGTGGGGACGGACGGGGGAGTGACTGCTTCAGGGGTACTACGGAGTTTTCTCTTGGGGTGAGGAAAATGTTTTGGAACTTTTAGAAGAAAAACTTTAGACAAAGTTAACAGAGTTCAATTGGGCAAGGAAAAAAAACTGATGTATGCATCCAGCAACCCTCGGAATCACAGCAAATTCAGGGAGACCCTGTCACTGCTGCATGTT